CCTATATGCCACCAACTATGAGTGACTATGGCGGACTATGGCTATTCTTTGTAGTCGGTGTCGACTCTTTGGCACGACGGCGACCTCGTCCTCTACCGCCGCAGCTTCGTGTTCAATTTAGCGTCATAATTTCGTTTATTGCGTTGGCAGGCCCAGCGTTTCGTTTACTTTCGGACACTTGGGCAGCCTCTCTCCGCATCGGCATCGGCATGGGCATGGGCATCATCTCCTCATCAGGGCAGTCACAATTTTCCAGCATCATCGGCGTAAAGTGTTTTGTTGAGTTCATAAAAATTGTCGCTGGCAACTCGCTTTGACGACATCCACTTAACGCAATTTGCAGCAGCGGCTCCACTTCACAGTAACTTGCCTGCCTGCCTGACTGCCTGACAGTCACTCGTACTCGTTCAGTCACTCAGACCATCAGTCAGCCATTGATGCTTGTGAGCCGTGTGCCGTGAGCATTCATTCAGCCAGGCAGCCAGTCAGCCAGTCAGTCATTCATTCATTTATTTACGCAGCTCATTCATTCGCTTGCCTCACACCATTTGCTGTTACAATTAATGAGTGTTTGTTTGTTTGGTTGGTTGTTTACTTGTTTGTTTCTTATAACACTTGCTCCGGCTCCTTCACTTCTGCCGTGCCGCTCGTCAGCTCTCATACGGGCAACATCAAAGTGGCTGCTGCGCCTACCGGAGAGCCCCAGAGAGCCCCAGAGAGCCCAAACCCCCACAACTCGTCGGGCCATTTAAAATGAACTTGAAGCGACAGAGAGCTTGCATATTTAATCATTTCCCAACCGGAGTTTATAAAATACTCGTACAACAGCAGCAACAACAGAAAATACAACAGCAAAAAATTATGAAGACAGAAGAGGACTTTGCGACCCGACCAATTGCCCCCAGGGAGCAAAAGGGTCGAGAAAAGCGCAATGCCAGTCAACTGGCTGCCCCGGTCCGCGCCTGCTCCTCCCATCCCATCCCATCCCTTCCATGTCATGTCAGGCACATAAATAAATATTTTTGCAAACCGGCCGTAGAATTTACACCTTGCAGCAGATGCTGGCTGGCTGGCTGGCTGACTGCGTGGCATGTTTTTGGCCAGCTGGGGCATGCCATAAAGTATCTTAAATATTTGACTAAGGTGTGTGTCGGAGCGCGCGGCCGAGGCGCACAAACAATTTAAGGGAGCGCATTCGTGCTGACGCTGATGCTGGGGAAAGCAACTTGGGCAGCTTGGGCGGCTTGTTGCCAGGGTTCATTAGATTTGCAGTCAACTCAATTTGCAGCCGAACATGCAACACAAGTGGAATTCACTTGCCTACTCCCTATAGCAAGGCCCGCCCCCTCCCCCTTTCCATATCACGAAAATGGCTAAAACGGTCTAAGCCGTAAGCGACAAAAACTTTTCTTCCTTTCTTTTTTTTTGTGGCACAATAACGTCGCTGGGCTGCTACTTGATGTTGTTGTTGTTGTTGATGTCGTTGCTGCCGTGTGCGGCACAATAAGCGCGCCTATGTGCCGAATTTGAATTTTTTCAGGACTCGGCTTTGTCGTCGTCCTCGTCGTCTGTTTCAGCATTTCGCGTTTTAATCTATTTTTCATGTGCTTTGAATAGCCCCTACCGACCCACAATTTTTTGTTCGTTCTCCTATTTTGTTTTTGCGCTTTGCATTTTTTAGCGCAGCGTCAGCGACAACGGCTAGGGCTAGGGCGCCTAAAAGCGCGCTGCCATTTTTCGTTGCCATTGTTGTCGTTCTCTTTTTGATTTGATTTCGTTTTGGCGTTTGGCGGCATATTTCAGCCGAGGCTTTTTGGATTCATTTCGCTGGTCTTGGTTGCTTTTGTCATTTTGGTGAACCACCCTAATTTGTTGCACACACACACACATACACACACCAACCTCTCTGAGTGTGTGTAGGTAACAGTAAACGTGCTGATTATTAATCACGAGCACTCATCCCGCCTCCTTAACATACTACGAGTACTTGTGCTTTGCTCTCACACCTTTTGATATGCCGTTGGCTGCTGCAATGGCGACGGCGACGGTGACAGCGACGTCGACTGCAACTGCGACTGCGATTGTTGCTGTTCTGTTGCAGTTGTTCGGGTCTCCTCCTTGCTTTTCACTTGATGCACTTCACTTTGCTGCTGTTGCTTCCACTGATTTATGCACTTAATATGATTTAATTGGTAAATACAATATCAGAGATTATTACTTGCACAGAAGGGAGACAGAGAGTGAGAGAGAAAGAGAGACACCCACACGCGTATATGCGGCACATAAATGGCACTGAGTGTAGTTGTTGCTTTCCTAACTGTTGGTTGCCGTACTTGTTCTTATTGTGCTGCAACCGCGCAAATATTTTCGATTCGACTTGACTTTTATAATCAGAAAAAAACAACAACAATTAAAGCGCCGATTCACACAACTTCTGAAGGAAGGCAACCTCTTGGGCGCCTTACACGATTTATTCTATTCGCGACACTTAACAATTCACAAACACTGATGCACACGCGTAAAGCTACTGTTGTTGTTTTTATTTGAATTTTTCCTCTTACGCTTGCTACGTTGTCTTTAACTTTTCTACTCGTATGCGCTTCAAACCGATTTCACGTCCGCTCGCATTGCAAGTCGTCGCGCAACTGAAACCGAAAAACGAAAATGAAATGGAACGAAGTTGTTGCTGCTGCTGCTGCTTTGCTGTTGCTGTCGCAATTGTGGTTGTTGTTGCTGTTGCTGTTGTATTTGAAATGTTTCTCTTACATCGCTGATGCTGTTTTATTCCTGCTCTGCAACGGCAGAAACTCGCATTTGATTTTTGTCTGTGGTCGCGCCTTCAACTGGCCATTCTTGTTGTTAGTGCTGTCCGTATTCCTATGGCTGTTGTTGTTGTTGTTGTTGTTGCTGTAACTGAAGTTTGTTGTGGTTGGCGTGTGCACGGAATAAGTGCCGAGCACTCGCAGCAGATTTGAGTGCAACACATAAAAGGGCACTGTAATCTAATGGAATTGGTTCAGTATTAAATGATGCGGCCAAACTTGTATAAACGCTACATATATATATGTTTGTATATAGTATATATCCAGACGAACATATTTTAAGGAAACACATACGCTGCTTTATAAATACTATAAGCAGCTCAATTACTACAGCAATTAGCCAATTTGATAGCATCGGACCGCTAATTGGTAGAAAGGGATATACTGTAGACCAACACACTTACTAAGTACATACATACAACTACCATAAGCAGCACGATATTGGCAATAACTACGCTATATAATTACATGAATATAAAAAACACAATCAAATAATTACCAATTAATTGCAATGTACAAGTTTGTACTTTAAATATAATGTAGCAGAATTGATTTAAGCCAGAATGCACTTAAAGAAAATTGGAGCTTAAGTGATTCACCAGTATATTCAAAATAATAAATAAAAATATAGGAATACGTTAAAGATTCATCCCTTCTACGCGTTCTCTTAAACGTATTTATTTAATTGTATTATACACCTAATTCTGTTTTTACACGGTAGATTGGTTCCAGAAAAAACCGTGTAAAAAAGACATTGATCATATGCAAAAAGGTGATTGGTTCCTCATCTGTGTTATATCAAAATCGTGATAAAAAAGAAAAGAAAACTAATATTTTGCTGATTTTATTAAAACGATATTCCCCAACTACGCTTCCTATACGAGCATCGAAAGCAGTTCTTAAAATCAAAGTTTGGCTGTCGTCAAAACTATTAGAATTATATTTTTGTGAGCACGAAACAAACACAATTAAGAAGCTTAATTTAATTTAACCAGGAAACGAATGTAAGACAAACTTCAGTTGCTGGAAGAGTGTTTTTATTTTGATTCTCAAATGAAATTCTGTAAACCTTTTCTAACAATAATATTCAATGAAAACTTGTTTTATTTTCTGATATATTTGCAGTATTTCATTTATTGGATATTGTTGTTAATAAAAATTGCAATAAATAATGAACAAAAGCCACAAAAGATGACGATTCTCTTAATTATCGGTGCATGTCAGTGGTGAGTCTTTTTTATTTATTTATTGATAAATGTGCATAGAACCGTTAGTCGTTTTTATGGCACGGCTTTAGATGGGCAGAAATGTAAATAGTTTACAAACATCATCATTTTCCAATCACAGCAAATTAAACTTTATTAATTATCGCCAATTGTTATTGTTGTTGTGCATCACTCGCCAAACTTGCCTGCAACATGTTCCGCTTCCATTCGTTCCGCACACTCTGTGCTCTTCCGTTTCAGCTTGGCGCGCTCTTTACACTGAGCGTCTCTTTCGCTCTCTTCTGGTACTGTACGCTACAACGGTACTAAGAATTGCTTGGTACTTTGGGTGCCATACTCATTTCCGGTTTCCGTTGCTTTGTGTGCGTGCCAGCAACACTGTGTGTGTGTGTGTGTAAGTGTTTGTGTGGGTGCGCTAAAGTGCGTGTAAATTTCGATTTGCGTGGCGCCCAGCGTTCTGCTTTAAGTTTTTTGCGCAGCACCCATGCCAAAAATATTGAAAACACATTAGCAGACGTCGCAGCAAACACTGGCGGATGTTTGTAATTTCCAGCTCCCAAACGACTCACAAAAAACAACAAGAACAACAACACCAAAGGGGGCTGGGCGGTCTTGGTGGGCGTGTCCCACTCGTGCCCCAAATCGAATTGTCTCGTGCAACTCAAAACTCATTTTATTAGCAGCAAATTGCCGGCAATGAACAGCACTTCCCGTGGAGCAGGCTAATCAACGAGCAGAGGCCTAGACACAGACCCAGCAACAGAAACAGAGAATTACAATGAGAGTGAGAGTTTTGGTAGGAGAGTAGCTGTGGTATTTAGAGGCGACTATCAGCCAGAAAGCGAAGTGATAAGCGCACTGCATTGATAAGATAAAACGATCGCAAGAGAGCTGCGAGCTTTCGACATTGGAAATAATAGGGTTAGTCATTGGTTGCCAGCGGAGACAGTCAGACATGGATGACACGGACTTCTCGCTCTTTGGGAAAAAAGACAAATCGAAGTCGAAAAAAGACAAAGCGGATGCCACCCAATACGCCAAGTCGCCTTCTTCGGAGTTGCCGCCCACGGACTTCAATCGCGTCATCACCTCAAGGCCCACCACCGACGACACCTATGAGAATTGTAAGCGAACGGGCGTGGCTCTAATCTTCAACCACAAAGAAGTCAAGGGACAGAAGACGCGCATGGGAACCGAACGGGATCGTGATGCAATGCAGAGCACCCTTCAGAATTACGGCTTTAGCGTCCGCACCTACAACGAACTGACCTTTGCCGATCTCTATGAAGTCCTCAAGCAGGGTGAGCATGCCATTGAACGACTATTATACATAAAGGTCAACCAGCATGCCAATTCTATTTCCGTGTGCAGTCGCCGCTGAGGATCATAGTCAGAACGATTGCTTGGTGCTGGTGGTGATGTCGCATGGAACCGAAGGCAAGGTCTATGCCAAGGACATGGCTTATCCAGTGGAGCGTTTGTGGATCCCCTTTCTAGGCGATAAGTGCAAGACCCTGGTGAACAAGCCGAAGCTCTTCTTCATACAGGCCTGCCGAGGAGCGAATCTCGAGAAAGCGGTGGAGTTCGAGACATTTAGTGTAATGACGCGGGCGATGCCCGCGGCCGCACAACCCCCACAACCAGTGACTTACGCCATACCCAGTACGGCGGATATGCTGGTCTTCTATTCCACCTTTGAGAGTAAGTTCCGAAGGGGATACTTCTGTTCTTAGAATTTCATAACTGTTCATCTTTCTGTGTACAGCGTACTTCTCGTTTCGCAATGTCGAGGACGGCTCCTGGTTCATACAGAGCCTCTGCATGGTGTTCAATGCAGCGGCCAAGGGCGAAGCCGCCGAGCCCTCGGGCACGGAGCTATTGCGTCTACTGACCGCGGTCAATCGCAAGGTAGCCTATGAATATCAATCAAATACCAAAAACGAGGCCTTAAATCAAATGAAGGAAATGCCCAACTTCATGTCCACGCTCACCAAGACTTTCTACCTACGTGTGAAGCGTGAGTCCTAGATCTCAGGAGAGTTCTTCTAAATGACAGTTATAGGCAATTCGAAGTTATATTTTATACCAGCAAGCAACAACAACATTTATTCACATTAAATGCGACTGACTAACTGTTTCAGTCCAAACCGAGAAGCGAACCCAAACTATTTCTGAACACTTACAATAATAACGAAAATTGCTTCTCTAATAACAATGCCTGTTATTCGTTTATACATACATATGTATGTGTATTTATCGATCGAAAGCACACTTTGACGCGCTTATCTCCAAATGGCCTAATACTCCGGGGTGCGATAACGACCACTACTTGAGCGTACAGCAGTAAAAGATTTCGCTGCACTGATAGCCTAAATAGACTGCCAAACACCTCTCTCCCAAGATATAAACAGGGGGACAACACTTATCCCAGCCGTCACAGTTCGAAAACGCAGGCATCATAGGCAATGGAAGAAGAAGCAGAGTTACGAAAGAACTTGGTATCCAAATATTTTCGGGAAATGAGACAGATGACTTGTGAACTTAGTGGAGCCAATCGAATGGGAATATTTATTGTGTACTGCAAATTATTGGTTTCCTAGAACTGAATTGCTTAGATTACCAACAACGAATACTATATTTATGGCTGCGAATATAAAGTTGGTCCCTAATAATTGAGTCATGACTGCACTGCACTTTATCCAGAATGTCGCTTAAATTTGACGAAGCTTAGCGACAAATATTAGTCACTCGAGTTGTCTTGTTTTTATTAAATTACAAAAATAAGTTATCTCTAAAATGTACGATTATCAATACCCAGCGATATGCATAGAAACTGAAGTATAACTTCTTCATTCCCGAACATATAGTACATATACTTGTACTTATATTGTTTAGCAAAATGTTTTCAAAATGATTATCGTTTGTTGATACCAGACTTAGAAACGATTACTCTCCAGAGAATGCTAATCAGATATGACAGCAGTGGAACGAGAAATAACAAGAAAGGAATGATAAAGTCGAGCAGGCTCAACTCTTAAATACTCTTTATAGTTTCTGAGATCCTTGCGTTCATCCAGACGGACGGACATGTCTAGATCGATTTCTTTTGTCATTCTGATTCAGAATATATGTATATACTTTATGGGGTCGGAGATGCTTCCTTCTGCATGTTACATACTTTGCACAAACCTAATATACCCTTTTTACCCTACGGGCACAGGGTATAAAAATGTATTAAAAAATTTAATTAATTAATTAAAATTCCAAGAATACCGAGAGTTATAGAAAATCGCGAATAGTGGGAAGTGGGGGAGTGCATCGGGAAAAATGAGCAAACTTGCCCTTTCTCGGGCGTAGGAGAATCTGGATACGAAGTTTGGTTATTCTAGCTCTTATACTTTTTCAGATCCTTGCGTTCATACAAGCAGACGCACATACGGGCAGACAGACGGACTCGGCTTGTCATCCTGATCAAGAATATATATACTTTGTGGGGTCTGCCACGCCTCCTTATGTGTGTTCCATGCACACTCGCACAAAACTAATATACCCTTTTACCCTTTGGGTACAGGGTATACAAATCTGATTTTTGGTCACGCGGCTGCATTTAAACAATTTATCTAAATAGGGATCTTGTTTTTAGATATCGAATTTTAAAGTAGTTGGCTCGTATTCTATATAGCGAAATATGGTACGAAATCTGAAGTATTACATAAGCTGGAGTCTAAACCGTTTGCAATTTGTGGAATTGAGTGGAGCACGATTCGTGCTCTTGGGTCCCACAGGTCCTGGCAAGTAGATGGTGGCCATTTCAAATCGTCAGTTGGCCGCAAAATGCTGCCTTGGTTGCACGCGCCGGTTCAGCGCTTTGGCACGCTTAGCCTCTGCCTGCTGCTGTGGCTGTGGCAGCTGGTGGACTTGGCGCCTCTCACTTACTGCCGCCGCCATGGTGTCTATCGCAGCCATCGGTTGATAACTTCGGGAGCCCTGTTCAAGTTGGTTGGTCTGTGGATAGTTGCGCCGCTGCTCTTTCGCCTGACTATGGCGCTGTACGGGACCACGAATGTGGCGCATAGTGATCTGTTCACGACCATTGCGGAGCTGACCATGGCCAGTGATATGATTATCTCGCTGGTGCTACTGGGGGCTCACATCTGGCGGCGCCGGCACCTGGCTAAGCTGTTGAACGGTGTGGTGCGTCTAGAGCTGCATCGGCAGGGGCTGCGGCGTCCACAGCTGCTGCTGCTGCTGTGGGCCAAACTGCTGCTCTCCTCGTACGAGCTGCTCTGCAACGTTCCCTTCCTGCGCCGCCACGCGCGTCTTCTGGCCTGGTGGCGTCTGCTCGCCTATGCTGCCCAGCAGTATGTACAGCACCTGAGCACCGTCTACACCAATGGCATCTTTGCCCTCCTGCTGCTGATGCTAACTGGCCTGGGGAGGCTGGAGCAGGACTGGCAGCAGTACGAGGGAGATCGCTCCGAGCGCCGACGTCTGCTGCGCCGCGAACGGCAGCTGCTGAAGCTGTGCGAGACGTTCGTACAATGCTTTCAGCTGGGCATCTTTCTCGTCCTCATCGGACACTTTCTCAACATTCTGGCCAACATGTACGCCATGCTGGACTACTTCGTGTCCCAGCACGGAGTGCCCTTGACCATGTCCAACTACTGTCTCTTCGTCACCATTGAGCTGTACGCCCTCGTGCTGGTCGCCTACATGTGCCAGGCTCGGCATGCGCGCCTTCGCGACCGTTGTCTGGAGCAGTGCTATGTGCCCGAGCGAATGAGTAAGCAGCAGGTGGTCGCAGCATTCGAAAAATAACTTGCAATTCTAATCACTTCCACGATTCGCAGGCCATGCAAAGGACGCCGTTGTTTCTTCTGCCCACATCCACTTTTCAGTTCTCGATCCTGGGGCTCTTCGTGCTGGACAATGAATTCTGGCTATTCCTCGTCTCGTATGCCGCTGACTTTATTGTTATCATACTGCAGTTTACTTTAACGAACATTAAACGTTAAGGCCGCTAACGATTCATTATCTAGATCTATAGAAGATCATAAGTCTATATAATAAAGCATTGCACGTTCTCTAAAGATTCACAAAAGAGACCACACGGGCTCTCCACGGGTTTGTTTTGTTCGGATAAGAAATAATTAAAATTGATTTGATGGGTTCTTCTTAACACTATGTATGCATCTATTTGTATTTAAAGTTATTAGAAGTGTTCTGCCGACAATGTTTGCGTACAAATTAGTTTGTAGCTCTGTAGAATTCAGCGGCCAATCAGTATAAAATATTTTTATATAAACTTTGAACTTAAACTAAATTGCAAAAAACACCAAAGCTAACTCCCACTGCAGTTCTCTCGGTTGCGCTTGGCGCCAATCCTCTCTAGATGATAACTCGGTAGTAGGAATCGGAAATGCTGTACAAGGCCACAATTGGTGTTTTCGCTTCGCTTAGATAGTCTACAACTTCCTCGTGTATTTCCGATATATAGCGTCTGTATTTGGGAAATCTGTGGAATAGGCCAACACATTATTAGGTTAGAATAGTTCAGTTCAGTTCTTCAGATGTTCTCTCATGTAGCACACCTCTCGATCACAATATTAATTTCCGATTCAGTCTCTTTTTTACCAATCTCGCGTGGATTGATTGCACCCACAATGGCATTCAACACCGAGGGCGGCAGCTCGACCACCAGCACCACAAACGACTCCTTCTTGATGAACTGAGCCAGCGTCGAGCTCATCTGCTGGGTCACCTGGTTCTCCAGGCGTCTCCGGTAGTTGGCAGTCATCTTGTCATGAATGATGAAGGCCACCTGCACATTCGGTAGCTGACTCAGTCCGCTGGGAGTGTAGTTGTTCTTTATGTTCACATTCGAGCTGGAGGTGCTTAGGCCGTTGTCGCCACGCCCCCCTCCGGAGACGTTCATGCTTGACAGCTGGCTGACGTAGTCGACGCTGGCGCTGCCGGAGATGTCGCTGCGCAGCACTTTCTGTATGAAGGGCTCGAGCTCGGCACGCGTTAGGTGTCGCTCCTGGAAACGTTCGCGGTCGAAGGAGCGCACACGCAGACCACCATTCTCGGCCACCATTATTACGTGTAGGGCTCCAAGTCTCGCCAAGTCTAGGGCTTCGTCCCCACCACCGCTGGCTGCCTCAACAATGCCGCAGCGTATTCCTGCGGACCAAAGCAGTCGCATAATGTATGTGACGTCCTTCAAGGGTGGCCGCGTGCCGCATACACAGATGCCGATATCAATGGCGCGACAATCCTTGGCATATTCCACGCCCACGGCGGCCACCAGTTTGTCTAGCGAAAATGACAAACCGGCGCCACTCAGCACACCGCGAGCGGGCAAGGAAGCGTTGTAGCTCTGCGCCTGCTTCTCGAACTCATGCAGCATGCTGTCGTAACGCTCGCCTACGGCCAGAACGGACGGATGCCCCGAACGATTCGGTTTCAAGTCAGCGGTCATTTGCCACACGATGCCCCCACTGCTGGCGCGATCAAAGCTGATGGGCAGTCCGGCCCATATATGTATGGGACACTATTAGGGAATACAATGTAGATAAGTATATCTAAGAATCAAGATCGACTGAAAAAGCCACATACCGTCACTCCTAAGCTGTAAGCGAGGCACACAACTGTCTCCATGTCACGCAGGGCGCCCCGGGCCAAGGATGCAGCCTCTCCCTTTCCACGAACGAGAGATTTTAGGGCCGAGTCGTCGACGCTGCTGCGCGACCCAGTTAACAAGAAGTTGGCGAGCAGCATGTCCATCAACGTTTGGGCAGAGGTGCGTGACCTCTCCATGATCAGTGTAATGCTCGAATGAAACTGGAAGCGGGAAATGCGAGACTCTATGAAATCCAAGATATTGCCGAACAGAGCCCCGTACTGAGACTTTGGAACATTGCAGAAGATGAGGATGGCGCGCAGGAGATTCGTATGGTTCATGCGTATGATGATATTCTTCTCGCGCAGGCGTGGTATCTCGTTAGTCACCTCGAAGGCCAGGGACAAGAGCTCTGCATCGACCAAGTGGCTGCCAGTCGTGGGCGTGATGATGTCAAAGGAGCATTCGTAGTTCTGTTTCGGATGGAAATTGAAGACTCGCTCCTCCCGATACACACGATCCACACAGTAACGACGAATGAGATTCACGCCATTCATTGCGACGTGACGAGCAAACTGAGTGCGCAGATCGCAGGGCAGCAAGACCACACAACCGGAGTGGGTCATCAAATGGACTGCGTTGCAGCTGGCATTGCGATTGTTCGCCGAGAGTGGCGAGAGCAGCGGGGAGTCAACTTCGATGGCTCCGTGCTTGCGAAATAGGTTGATAACCTTGGCCTTGACGAACTCGATCACCGGACTGAGCGATACAATGTCATCCATGACAATGGGCGAGTTCCAGGACTTCATGGAGCGACTGCTGCCCAGGTGGTACGTATGCTCCAGCACCGCATCGCTCTCTTGCTGCAGACACCGGGCCACCAGATTCTTGTAGGCCTTGCTCTGTGGATTGGCCAAAGCGTGTCGCAGCATCTCCTGAAGCTCGTACGCCTCCAGCTGCGCAGGCGGCACCAGATCCGACACGAGCAGCTCCTCGGCGGTGGGTCGTTGTGCGGGGTCGTGGCTGAGCAACCAACGCAGAATCTAATAGACAGTTTGAACAAGTAAATCATTTACGTTTGCTGTGTTACTTAAAAGTTGAGACACGCACCTTGACGGTTTTCTCGTATTTGTTATCCTGCAGCATGTGCTCGGGTATTACTATGGAAACTGTTCGCAGCGCCATAATGGTCTGGGCGCGTTCCATGCTGGTGTCGAATGGGGGCTGGCACATCTCAAAGAGTATAATGCCCAGCGTGTACATGTCCACTTTCTGGTTGTACACCGACTTGGAGGCATTGCCTGTCAACTCAGGGGCCACATAGAGCGTAGTGCCCACTTTTCCTGTGCCTGTGCCATCCTCGGTGGAGGTAATATGCTGCTGTGCTGGCGTGTGTGTTGGTCCATCTGCTATAGATGAAGAATTTTATCATAAAAGTTGCACTTTAAAGGAAGAGGAAGTCAAGTCCAAAAGTAGAGGATGAGCTACTAAACACTAACTAGTCATTTATTCTAGTCTGTTTCCCTCGACCCTTTTCTTGCAACTTACCATGCGACTGCAATGCCAAGAAACTCGTTGTAGCTAGCCCGAAATCGCCAATTTTGATTTGATCGTGCGAGTCTAAGAAAATGTTGACGGGTTTTAAATCGCGATGTATGATGCCTTGTTGATGTATGTGCGACAATCCCTCGGCGATCTCCCGAAACAAGCGCCATAGTCTATCTGTGTTCTCGTACAAATTATCATCAATAGCGGTGCTGCGTGCCGAAAAGGGAGAACAACATTTACTAAGCTTGGAAAACTGCACAACACTGAGCTCTACACAAGTGGGGTTAAACTTTAAAGATCCTAAATGAAATACAGGTTACCAGGTAACCGATTTAAGCTTCACTTGAACGTTGTCCGATATTACGGTAGTTCCTAATCATACGACTATTGTCTGCTTTGGTTATAGAATGCAAGCCTCAGTAAATAGCTTACCGCAGCGTACACTTCTCGCAGAACTCCATCTGAATGTACATGACCTGCATCTGGGGACGTGGAGAGGTGGCCTTGAGTCGCGAAGAATCGTCCTCGTCGTTGTCATCATCTTCGTAGACGGCGACCTGTCCGTTTGAGTCCACAAACTCAATTCCATCCGAGTCTGAGTCCTCCATATTAGGCCTGCAAACAGAGGCTAAGAATGAGTCGCTCTACTGATCGACCAAAAATTATTTACATGTAACCAGTCCACATGCTGGATGAGCTTTCCGTCTCGTCAACGGCCACGCCCAGCTGCGGCGATTTGGCAGGCTTGGTGCTCTCATGGCTTTGCGACCACTCTCCGCCCATTACCTTGTCTAGCTCGGCAGCGTCCGCATCGTTGAGGTTTTCTATCCAGCTATTGAAGTAGCGAACCACGTTTTCGTGATTCAAGCGCGAGAGTAACTCCACCTCGCGTGTCATTTTCTTGTACAGTTGCCGATTACGAGAGGACAGGGGTATACGCTTGATGGCGTACTCTCGATTGTCCAATATATTTCGAACCTTCAACACATCTCCAAACGCACCCTTACCCAGATACATCAGCACCTCGAACTCGGTGCGTAGTCGGGACTGACTAAGCGTCAGCGTAGGCATCTGAAAGGGCACCGCCGCAACATTACGCTGTGCGGGCGAGGTCTCCAAGGAGCCACGACGTTGTGTGGACTGCGGCAGTGTCGCATTGTCTACAAATATGCGCAGAAAAGGATGCTCAAGCAGCTCCGAAGCCGAAAGCGTTCGATCTGAATTGCACCTAGGAAGGATATTAAAAAGTTTATATTATTTTAGCCCGATTTTACAGGATATTTGGAATTCACTTACTTATCCACAAAGTCCCGCATCTCATAGCTATTAGTTGGCATCAGACCCTCAACCAGGGCGCCCAGAGCCGGCAAATCGCCGCGTGTGCTGCTCTGACCAGCACCACCAATCAGTTCAAGCAAACTGGGGACCAATGAGAAGTCCGTGCAGCGTATAGTGCCTGCGTTGTCCATGAAAACAGTCGAGTCCAGCAGGTGGCTGTGCGATACGCCCTTGTTGTGGAGGAAGACCAAAGCATCGAGCACGCCGCGGGCCACCATTCGGGCACCATCCATGCACCACCCGAGGGAGGAGGAGATGCTAAAGACGCTTGTGCCGAGCAAGAAGTCCTGCACCAAATAGACCAGCAGTCCTTCCTTACGCTTAATGCACAATACACACTCGTACTGAATGAGATTTTTATGCTGCAGTTGCGCCAGAACGGCGACCTGCTTCTCGATCGAAGCTATGAGCTCGTCCACGCGATGATTTCCCGCGCACTTGGGATCCGTATTTTGCCAGTGGCACTTTCCGCCACTGCCGCAGGGCTGTTCCAGCTGCGAGTACTTGATGTTCCACTCAGTTATGTACAACAGTTGGCCGCTATTGATGTCTATGCCTGTGTAAGCAATGCAGCCGCGTTGCGAATGACCTGAAAAAACAGCGAGATAAAAATACTTCCAAGTGGACGTAGAGAAGCACGTACCGAGGCAACAGCCGCGCTGTACTTGCCGCCCGACCTTGTGAAAGTACAAGGTCTCGGTGTTGCGATGATCCAGACACCTGTTCGGATAGATGTGGCCGCGATAGTAGGGGGACGAGTTCTCCGAACTCTCCGACGAGCTGGGATGCCGATGGTTCGATTCGCTCATGCTGCGCCTTGGCTCGCCACGCCTCTTCGCCTCTGTTTTAAACATTTCTTTGCGACGCTCCACTTCGTTCAACAGCGTCTGACGCTCTAGCGTCTCCTTCTGCTTCTGCATGTCCAGCAACTCCTGTTCGCGCTTCTGCTTCGCTTGCAACATCTCGTCATAGAAAGAGCCCTTCGGAGGCTTATTGTGCTGCAACAGGAAAGCCTGCACACTTTGTGCCAGCTCATAGATCATCACCTCGCCGCGCAGCTCCTGCGACTGCCCCTGCAGCTGCTGCAGCAGCTCCTCCAGCAGCTGGTCCGACATGCCCTTCGACTCCTCCAGCGTTATTTTTGGCGCCCTGCAAGCATAATGCAGCATATAAAGCAAGCATATGTCAATGGCAGCCTCAACTTACAGCTTCGGATATTTAGACGGACAGGTTACATGTAGTTTGGTGCACACATACGCTTGGGCCTGTCCGTTGGACGAATCCCGTAGCGGTGTGAGCAGTATGCGTATGTCTGTGGGCTTCCATTGCGTGGCAGTGCTGTAGGGCCGCAGATCCTCCACGTCGCTTCCGAAAATTGACTGAAAGAGCCGACAATTATTTCGTCATCCATAGGAACATGCGCAGATTTATACTTACTTTTATGACCTCCAATTCCTGCGTCTGCCTCTCGCGAAATGATTCTTTCGCTGCCATTTAGTTGCCAATTTGTTCATCAAATCCTGGTTGGTCTGAAAAGTTCGTATTGGCGAGGTATTTACGAGTATGTATGCGTGTGTGTTTGTTATGAATTTAGCGGCCGGTGTGGTTCTGCGCTAGCAGCTGTTTTAATTGTTGATAACTTCTGCATTACTTTGGCGCTTCTTTCTCACCGCCAAGTAAATGCAAACCAATTATTTGATCTTTCGGAGCACCCTAAATGCGTAAATTGAGACTTGTTGCGCATTTAATTCATTTAAGTAAATGTTCTGTCGATTTAGTTCAATGAACAGCTGTCCTACCGAGCTATCGAACTAGTTCTTACGATTCAGTTTCAAATGGTTCTACCAATTCCGTGGTTTCCGTTTTGTTGATATTTTAGTTTTCAAATTTAATAATTTAACAAGTCAGATTATTTTGAATTGACATATTAATACTATAATAAAAAATGTATTATGCATTGATAAATGAAGCAAAAATATTAGAAGGCGAAAGTTCACTGTGTAATATTGCAAAAATTGACGCCTATGGTTATCTTCCGGCACGAATTGATAACTTTGTAGTCTTGCAAAGAGGCTCGTCAAACTGATTATACATTTATGCAAAACCACCATATGTACTTTATTACCTGGAGATAATGTTTATTGTAGATATGAAAGCGAGCATGCCACTCCGCTGGCTGTGGGTGCTGCCACATCGGTAATAAAAAATAAAAGTGCGCGCCAGTTATAACGGTGCTTCTATGTAGTTATATACAAGCGTGTCTTCTCCGTTTTGTGAAAGTTATAAAATAAATGTTTAGCGAGTTATTGGTGCGAAAACCAACGTGCTTTTGCCAAGATGAATTTTACGCGAGTTGTTGTATTTGTTAATGACAATAAGAAGTCCACAGGCACGGTGAGTGAGGGGCTTGCTGAAAAAGAGGGCCGCTTTGGATATGGTGGCGAATTGCACCTTTTGGATAGAACCTCGCTGCGTCTGCTGTGCTGTCAGAACGCCTCCAAGCCTCATGTGCTGTTGGCTAAGAAGCTACATTTTGACTCGTTGGTGAGCAGTGGAGCGATAGATAATACGCAGACGGAGCTTTCCGGCCTGTTGCACTGGATGTTTACGAATCAGCGAGATGGCTTGCTGCTCCGGTTGACACCTAACCGGAACTGTAACTTCATGTTCCTAATGAACGCGCTGGCTGTCCAGGTGACCGAAAAGTTGGAGGAGTTGCGGCTGAAGCTGGAACGGGGCCAGGTTCGCTACAGGCAACTGGTAGAGGAGCAGACGTTGCCCAGATGTGGCTGTGCGAGCCGCTTGGAAACGCAGTTCAATTTTTCGCACACTGGCGAGCTATTCAGTTGGTTCGTGAACGAATACCGCCTGCGAGCAGGCTTGGCTACCGGCCACGAGTTGGTCGAAGTGGAGTACCACGTCGAGCAGAAGGAGAAGAATCTGAAGTTCTGCGTAAAGTTCGGAGTTGTGTTTGTGGCTATGTCTGACCTGGGCCTAGAAGGCTTATGTGCTCTGCGCAGCTACTTCAGTAACGACGTCATTACAGCGGCTCTGGCACGCACCGCTCTGGCAAAGTATTTGCGGCACGTAACGGAGGATGCAGACCGCAAGCCTGTGGTGGTGCTGCTGCTCTGCCATGTGTTAACCACTGGCGCCAAAATTGATGCCGCCAATGTGCAGTTGCTGGGCTTGGCGCATTTGGCCTATCGGCAGGACAAGCCGGGCCTCGAGCGAGAGGAATCGGTGGTAAGTTGGACGGACTCTCAGTGGTCTTCCACTAAATGCTTATTATTGCATTTTTGCAGCGCACAGCGACTCTTGCTTCAGACCATTTGCCGGCCTACACTTCAAGCATGGCTCCTCTGACGGAGTTAAATCAGCTAAAGCATCTTGAAGAGGAAAATAATGCGAATATCATCACCTTGCAGCAATGCCTGGAGCACTGTGTACAGGAATCCCATATAATGAGAAGCTTCATCGCCTCCAACAGCATCTTCCAGCACTGCGAGCTCGATGGAGACATACAGACCGTGCAGACATCCTTGGAGCGTTGCGTGCAACACGCCCAGCTGTTGGAACTGTGCCGCAATAAGTTCGAGGAATGTTTTTCCAATAATGTGGAAATGTCAAGATTGATGGCCAGTCCTGTGCTGTCCCAGATTATCGCGAAAAGCTTCAACTCCGCCAATAGGAGCAATAAATTAATTTGATTCCAATAATATCTCAATGTCTCATGATCGTGTACTTACAATTTAGAAATATCTTAGCATTAAGTTATGAGTTTTGTAGCATTTTCAAAAATTTACTGTAATACCAGAAGTTATTTTTATTTTAACAAAAAAAAGGGTTGCATAATCGCCAGCTAGCATGAGTAACAAAGCTCATCGGGTTGCTGTGGCATTCACGGATGTTTCACGCAAGTCGGCCATTTATGCAGACAGTCGCTTCGACAGCGACGTCAAGATCCTCGACAATCACGCCCTGTTGCTCCGCTTGAACAACAATCAGCAGACCAGGAAGGTGGGGTCTCTGCCGGCCCGCTACTTTCGCCATTTGGAGTTCGATGCCGTGGGCTATGAGTACGAGCCCCACATGGTGTCTGAGACGACCGACCTGCTGGACGAGATGTTTCGCACCAAACAGAACAGCAGTTTCGTGCGATTTATCGTGCCGCGCATCAACAATTTGAACCTGCTAAGGCGCATCCTTGTGGCCGACGTCGACAAGATTATGACGTCGATGCGCTGTCGCATTAAATCCATTACTCTCGAGTACTACGATGTGCGAAAGTTTGACATGGTCAACATGCTGGCCGAAGGGGCTTCGCGGGCCCGGTCCCCGTCGATGCGTCGCACGCTGCAGGCCATTACCAGTCGGACTATGCAGTCGACACGCGAGCTCTTCCAGTGGCTGGTCACGGAGTATAGCGCGCTGCGGGGCCGTAGCATCGGGGATGACTTCATCGACGTCGAATTCGTTTACAGCGATTGCAATCTGAGGCTCCACCAAGTCCATCTCGCCCTATTCCAGGTCTTTGGCTGTGATACGCGCACCGATGTGGCCAGTCTCTTTGAGACGCTGGCCTCGGGCAAGAACCTGAACAGAACGCTGCTCACCGATTGCATCAAGGAGTGCTTTGACTTTAAGCGTCCGTTGCGCGCGTTGCTGCTGTTCGAGATGCCACTGAATCGGGAGCGCGACTGCCCCGAATGGATGCGCAAAATGCTGCGACTGGCCGACTCCGCGTACACGAACATAAGCAAGGCACTGGACATGTGCTCCGATGTGGTAATAGCTGCACCGAAGCAGTCCCTGCTAAGTGTATGCAAGACGGGGCGGTCCGCATCCTCTGATCCTGTGCGACCAGTATCGCAGCTGAAGTCGAGGATGATCAGCCAGTATAAGCCAGTTGCTCCTACAATTGCAGAACTACCGCCAGCCACAAGCACCTACGACCTGGAGCGCTGGTACAAGGAAATCGACAACAAGGTGAGCGAGGTGCGTCACAGCATGGACAAGTTCTACATGGCCATGTACGAGAACAAGTCGCTGCAGATGTGCAATCAGCTCAGGTATGCGGAAGGGGGCCAGGACGAGGACAATGAGTGCCACGGCGACAGCCAATCCGTGCACAGCAAGGCCTCTCACGAGGCGGACGCGCGGGATCAGTACAATGAGGACTTGGCCAACTTCAGACGCCTCGAGAGCGAGGTGGAGCACTCCTGCTTCGCATCCACTCTGAAAGTCTATGTGGCCAAGAAGAGCTACGAGCTGGCCAAGGCCGAAAAGGAGCTCAAGCAGCGTGAGATCGACAATCTGCGTCTAAACGTAATTAGTTGCATCAAAATGGAAACGCTGTGAACTCGGAGCTGCCATTGATCCATTGGCTCCGGCACGGGCACGGGCACGGTCACTCGCTCAGTTGAGGATTAGAGCACGTGCAGGGGCCAAGGGGAGTGTGGCTGCTCCAGACACCCACAAGCGTACTGTGTGGTTAGTTTCTGGAAATGAATCTTAAACATGACTCTGTTCAATATCTTTCGTGTATCGTACTTCCGGCTTTGGGGCGCACGTTTTGAGAAATAAATCAACTTGATGGATTTTGCTCGTACAATTTATACTTGTAGATCATATCGCATATAGGTATACATTTAAATACAATAGGTACATATATAAATACATTCAATATTATTGTCAACGTCAACATACATACATATACATATACTTAGTACGATGTACCCGTAATACGAGTAATAGTTAAGAGCATGCTCCCAAGCTCGCTTGCAACAGCTTCCAACAGTTACTTCAATGCTACGAGTAAGTAAATAGAATAGTATCTGGTAACACATATGTATAGTATATCTGTATCTCTTAATGCATACGTAAAACATCCAAAGCAACAATTGAACAATCAATGCACACAAAAACACAATTAGACACTCTGTAATAACGAGTATATAGGCAACATTAATCATCTTGGTTTCTATTCTCGTTTCTTCTCTTTGGATATGTGCGGTTGGCCAAAATGTATTCTGATATATTTTCGGGAGGTTTATAGATTGTTGGCTAGTGGCAGTTCACATGATTATAAGTTTATAGTTGTAGTAATCAGAGTCAGATGATACCCCTTCAATCGAAATGGATCAGTGTAAGTGGGAAGGAGTTCTGAAGCTCTGGTCTCTGTAGAATTCTTCTAGTTGCTCGTCTATGTATTGGATTTATCATGTTACAACAATTATGTAATATCATTTCATTTTATGGAGAGTATTATAACAATAATCGGCAGAAACAAACGTCAATTTGTCGCTTTATATAGCGATAGCTATAGATATACGTATATAATATTTTCGCAATTAAAATGTGTTATAACTAGCATTGTACGATATTTGTAATTCTCGCACCTACACTGAGAATGTTTAGAAAATAAATGAAATGAAATTCTGAAATGAATCGAACTCAACTCAATTTGAAACTTATGCGTACAATCTGGACTCGAACTCGTCTATAGCATAGTCAATATCGAAAGAACTTGAAGTAACAACAAGCTATGGACACAAGCCTTGGGCGTTTCTTTTGTTTCTATTCGTCCTGCAGTCCAAAATCCAAAAGCCCTGTAGTTGTGACATCGAGTAATTCTACGCACTGGGCCCTATTCAAGAACTTAAAACATATATAAAAATATATCTATACATACATAGTATAATATTGTATATTGCTAGGTTGGCGATATATGAGCAGCCCATGGAATTCGTCGTATAAGTATGTACGAGTATGTGACTTAATATATAATATTCTGTAGCCAGACGAAAGCGTTCAGTTTGTAACACCATTACTTATGACATAAATGCTTTCCAACTCCAACTCCAACGCCCCCTCTCCATCATATATCGGCCAAGTTATCAGAAGAACATGCGCTAATTTACACCTGAGCTGGTTTCGTTTGCTTGCCGAGTACCATGAGCATTTTCTGAAGGTAGTGTGTGAGGCTTACTGGAATAGAAGGGGAAGAGAATACGAGTGTATCGGATTAGTGGGGAGTACTTATCGGAGCTCGTCTAGTTCAGCTACTTAGGACTACTTGTACAAAGAAAGTGCAAGTGAGTTTCAACTAGAATTGAGGGTGCAAGAGAAACGTGTTACGACTAGTTGGGGAAGGACCCGGACCCAGTCGTTGGTAGTACGAATACTTAGTGGTAAGTGTGAGTGTTAGAGAGCAGGCAAACAAACTAAATGGAAAGTGCGGAAAAGTAAAACTTAAAAACCTTTGACGCCGCCTTGGGACGCACAACCATCATCAGTTTTTGGAGTGCTTGTGTGAGTCCGCCTAGAAGAGTTGCAACAATGGGTGGTGGCACCGATTCGTGTGTGTGTGTGCACAGAGGCGCGCAAATCATATGAAATAATATTAGAAATAGCAGTTGAGGAGGACGTTTCAGGTACTGGAGCATTTGGTCAGCTTGTCCGGAGGCCGGCGATAACTTACCCATCATTTTCTGGAACCAGATGGGCTTCCTCTTCCAGGCAATGAAGACCAGGTAGACGGGTATGCTGGACAGAATCATGAGAATGCCGTAGCCCGTCTCCACCGGACTCGCATACATCGGCACAACCGTCACGAACATCGTCGCAATCAGATACACAATCGGAAAGACCAAGGGTACGCGGATGGGTCGTGGCAGGTTCGGCTGGGCCCAACGCAGCCAGGGCAGACACAGCACGGCAACGCCAATACTCAGCTATGGATTAAGTCCAGAATTCGATTAGCAATACCCCACACGATGGGTCCGGAGCACCAACTCACCCAGGTGGCGAAGCCCACGTAGTTGATGAGCGCGAATATGTCGGAAACCGTCAGATACAGCATGGAGAGCAATGCCATGGCCAGCACAGCGGGGGTGGGCGTGAAGCGTTGTATTTGTATCATCGTCAATATCTCGGGCATCTGGCCCTCATTGGCGCCCGCATAGAAGAGACGCGACGAGGTCAGCAGAATTCCGTTGACAGCGCCGAAGGTGGAAAGCGCGACAAAAACTGCAAAATGTAGAAACAAATGTGTTTTACGTTAGAATCCAATTAAACAGAATTGATTTTGCAGAAGAAATCGAACAATTTTGTAGTAATCGAGAAAAGAAAGATCTATGTGTTATGCGAATTTTAATAATCCTTTGAACTACTAATTTATTTCAGCTCAGCTCTTTTAAACTAAGCGTTAAGGCCTGAACATTAGAACTATAAACAGCTTATTACATCGAAATTTTTTAGCAGGTTGTTGGTCCGACAAATGTAAAGCAATTGAAGAAAAGTTTTAGCTGCAATTGAAACAATATGGTTACTAAAAATATTTATTCGTTACTAAGCTCTGTTTGTCAAATTCTTCACAAACGGAAGCTACAGAGTTCTTAGGAGCATCGGAATTATATATAATCGAGCTAGTTTTATAGAGTTCTAAAGCAATCTTTAATAAGATAACAAAAAACATATAGTAGCAATGAAATCATGGCTTGGAAATTCCATTTAAATAATTATATTATAATTTTCGAACATTGGAATTTATAATAAATTGTTGAAAACTATAGTGGAAAGTATCAGAAAAGTGATGAGTGCATGACTTATTTAGAAGTGTCGGAAAATTCGAATACATCATACAGGTCTATCTTTCTATCTAACAACTGAGAGTTCCAACTAAAGAATCCAGTTTACGAACTGTGAGAAGAAGAATAAAACACATTTGGTTCGCAAACCTCGTGCCTGTTTGCGATTAAATTATGTCTGGAATGAAGTAGAATCAAAGCAGTTCTATCTAGTTTCGTAGCTTCGGTTGGGTCAACAATTTTGTTGCATATTTTTGGTTGGTAATTTCTTGGTTGAAAGTATTGTGCCACCCACCTGGTATGGTCCATGCAAACATGCCAAAGGCTCGCTCCGCATAAGTGACCGCCACTGCCGAGGAGCCGAGCACCTCGTCGGGCGAGAGGATGGTGTAGAAGGACACATTGGCCATGACGTAGACAATGGTGACCAGCGTGCAGGATATGGCGATGGCGCGCGGCAGATTCTTGACGGGGTCCTTCAGCTCCTCGATGATGAAGTTCAAGTAATTCCTGCAACACAAATCCAATTAGTTCAGACAATACGGACATAAGCCGCTTATGCTGCGACACCCACCAGCCGTTGTAGGCGAACAGGCCCGAGTAGAAGGAGAGGGCCAGTGACGTCACGCGCGTATCCGTATTATCAAATGTGAAATACTGCACATTTCCCATATACAACTGATACATGCCCGTCGCTATAATGATGAACAAGGCCAGCAGCTGCAAAGAGGAAACGAGGAAACATTACAGTCTCTGCCTCGAAGCGTCATTTGCATTTGGGCGCTTACTTTCGCATAAGTGAAGATATCCTGCACAGCGGTGGCCCATTTAACGTCCCAGCAGTTGATGAGCGTAAGGACCACTGCAAGCAAATAGAAATATATAGATGGGACTTAATGTAAGCTCTAAAATCACGGCGCCAGCAACTCTATCGTCCATCGTCCATCGCCCATTTCCCATTGGGTGATGTAATAATGCGAGGATTTGCACAATGTTGCCGGCATTATTATTATTATTTGTTAGTGTTGTTGCGATTAATTCCGAGTGATTAATTACATATTAAATAAGTTGCTGTGCCTATACACACACACACACACACACACACATGTACATACTCGTCTATATGCAGAGGCACAATGGCTATCAGCGTGCCACGCAATCGCAGGCATTTTATAAATTGGTCACCCGGTGTAGCAAGCACATACTTGTACGCACATGTTGAACCTAGATTTTCAGTTCCTCAACCATACACAGAGAGAAATACAGTACATACTTTATTTTATCTTCCTTCATTGTACACATTTCAATCCAGAAAACTGATTGAATGTGCTGTGCTTCAATCAAACCTAACAATTTTTGATAATCAGCTAAGTGTACTAGAGAGGCAACAATCTATCTCTCTCTCTCTCTCTCTTGGCTGTCTCTCTCTCTCTCTTGGCTGTTCCCTTGCTCTATTTGTATTATAATTCCCAAGTGCTTTCTGCATCCAGTCTTCAAACAAGTCTTAAGAAAGCTTTTGTTACAAAATTGCTAGAGTTTTTCTCTCCGTGTACTATACATAGTCGTATGTTTATCGCTCTTTATTTCGTTTCTTTTTTTTGCATGATTGCTACCCAAATGGAATATTATTTGTATAGTGCTGATAAGCGAAGCGTCAAACACTTTCTGCTTTTTGTCTCTAATCTATAGGTCAAGTACATCGATTGCGAGTGCATTGATGCTACATATTCCAAAACTCACAAGTGGTTTTTGTTACTCACATATACAGCAAACGGCCAGGAGGCGAGAGGCGTCTTCGGGAGGCGTGCATTCGGGGAAGAAGGGCTTCAACACATAGGTACTGAACGTCAGAGCCACGATGGCCTGCGAGCATGGACGCACTATCATGCATTCAATCCACAGGCGTATGAAGGCCATAAACGGGCCAAAAGTCTCCATAATGTAGGCATAGTCCGCACCCGATTTGGTGATCATGGTTCCCAGCTCAGCGTAGCAGTAGGCGCCCACCTAGAAAGATGAGAGTACATCTGTAAGCTTCTATTTTTGTCAAGCGAGCCATTTGTTGTCTACAGAGAGCAATGCTTGTTTCTGATCTTGGGGTAACTGAGTCGAAATTATACAAATTAATTGGACTTCTATAATTGCTTTCTATAAATATTTATTCTCAGTATTTCCGCGTCATATGGATGTTCTTATCGTTGTCTTTTACAGTATAAAATATAAATAGAAGTGCTGCATAAACTATAACTTTTGACTGGAAGTTTGGTTGTATATTTCTTTATTTAATTCGGATTCAATTCCTGCTACGTTTCCACATTCATGGCTGTTCCCCAGATTTATTCTTGACTAACGGATATTTTGGATATTAAAAACGATAGCTAATAAATGAATTTTTTTCAGAATTTACCTCGTTAGTATTCGTTTTTTTTTTTCGCGCAATATATAAGTTTTTAAATGTATTCTAGTTGTGCTTAAATTTATTTCAAAAATCATGAGTCAAGACTTTACAGATTTCACCTGTAATTCTCTATTTAAGGAATTTAAAGAAAGTATACATATTAAGTAGAAAGTAGATAAATAATTGCCATGCTCTTGAATGATAAGAAGCTTAGGTCCTGAAGTTGTAGATTGCCATAAAGAGTAACTAAGGAGCAGTTTTGTTTGTTGCTCTTAGTACTGGCATCTAACTGAACAATCGGAACAGCAGAATAACCACCTTTATGCAATTTTATTTCATTCTAAAAATAGTCAGTTAAGTCGGGAGGTATTTTATACGACCCTATTGTAGATGCCTGATATATAGATTTTATATGGAATGCAAACATTTCTCAACATGTTTTTCTTTGTCTCAGTTCTGTCTGAGATCTACTTCAGATGAGATATCGATTCTTTAACGAACCAACTTTAAAAACTTTAAATGCTTTTCTATTTATTTTCGGTTTAAATATTCTGCTTTCCATGAAAGAGTGAGTTGCCTATTTTCAAAACTGTTTAAAGTCACAAATGAACAGAAAGGGGGTTTAAAGCGCAGGCCGACGCTCCATTTAAATAATTTGATTGCAAGGCAAGTGCCCATCTATCCATCAATTGTCAGGCGCAGTGTTGCGTATACGTAATTTTATTGAATGGTAATGGGCGTGCAGTTGACACGAAGAGCGACATGGAAAGAGGCCCTAGTCTCGGGTCGAGTGCGCGTGTCCGTGTCTGCGGGAAGGCGGGCGGTGCCTGTGTAACTGGGAATGTCTTTGTGGGTTGCGTGTGTGCGCAGGAATTTCAATAATTTCATTAGATGCCAGAAGGCAGTAAGGCGTTTTGAGAATTTTTAATTGAACGAAAGGATCAGACGGACAGCTTTTTATTGCCAACTCTCCTAATGCGCCTGGCCACGTTCTACTGCTCCCTTTGTGGCACCAGATACGGGGCAGTTGGAGCACATCTGTTGCGTCATTGTTTACAAGTGGACCGCACAATGCAACAGGTGTTGACTTACGAAACTCGTAGCATTTGCACACACGAGTACAATCGCACATACAAGTATTTGCATATGAAGTCGACGCGCCGCGACTTATCAATATTTATAAGCATTGCCAGTGTCCCACTAATCAAATTATGCATATCAGTTAGGTGTATCGCTCTCGGCATACTCACCATTGAGAAGAGACCGGAAATCACCCACACAATCAGAGCCAGATTGACGCTGCCCGTGTACATGAGCACCCCCGTGGGTGAGACGAAAATGCCGGAGCCAATGATGGAGCCGACAATGACCGTCACACCGTTGAGCAAACTCATTTTGGCTTTGAGGGTGACCTCGCCCCCGCCATCGCCACCAGCTCCGCCACCACCATCTCCATTGGCCCCTCCTCTGTCCCCACTGCCGTTAACAATGGAGCTCTTCCGCGAGGAGTTCTTACGGTTGAGAGATTCCGTTTCCATGTTGCAGCGCTAAACTAACTGGAACTGCCTGCAAAAAGAAAGGGAAGCTATTTAAATGGTAGATGGAATAAATTCATTTATAAGTATGACAATCTGTCTCTCCTCCATTTCTTCTCTCTCGAATGTATTTGCTGTGCTTCTTAATGCGTTGAACTTAGTATTGAATAGAGTGTATAAGAGCAGTTATTATTTATTTTATTTGTGTCTTTATTACGATTTAGAATAGAGTTTGTTAATTTAATTATTACTTATTTTATTTGTGACTTTATTACAAATTCTCAAGATAAATAATGAAGTTGGAATGTTGTTGTTTTGTTTGCATTTGTTTGATATTAAAATGTTTCAAGGCCTGCCCCCAGGTAGTAATTCATTAAAAGTATGTGAACTTTTCGTTACTTCCTTTTTCCTAATAGGTGTCTTTGTATATTTTAAAAATGTTTAAAATCCCCTTTTTTGTTGAATTGGAAATCTAGAAGTTAGGGGAAACTGTATAGTCTTCCAAGCATTTTGATTGAAAATGTTATAGTTTCGAAGTAAGTTAAGACTTGGAAGTTTAACAAAGATTGTTCGTTTACTTCGCAATTATAAAGAACATTTTACAACCTTTTGTATATATGGATTTATTATTACTTGAAATTAATATAATTAGAATAATAATATGAATTATTACAAGATCAAAAGAATTCTCTGTTTTGAGAGCAAATGTTATAGCTTAGAAGTGAATTAAGACCTGAGTGTTTTCCAAATAATATTCGTAAGCTACGCAATTATTAAGAACCTTTTATGTGTGGCTTTATTATTAATTCAAATTAACATAGTTAGAATTAAGAAGAATAAGAATTCTCTGCTTTTGAAAATAGTTTGCGGAATATTGAAAAGTATTCCCTCAGACGTTCTTTTCATTCGGAATTGGAGATTTTATTCATGTCTGATCAACATTAATGGGCCATAAATTCGACCGAAGCAGCATTGTTTACTGCAATCGAACAATCATCGAATGCTGTGAGCTATTTCTGTAGCTTTTTTTGCTCGCCAGTCTCTCGCTGCAAGTAGCCTTCAACCAAATGTTAATGTAAACAATAATTGCAAAAAACTTAAACACCCCCTCCCCCGCCCGGCAAGCTTTCATCGGCCTTTCACATTCATTTGCCAGCGCTGTGCTTGTCATTGACTTTGAAAAATGAGCGTCGCTAATCGCCGAGACAACAGCAGTGGTAGCTTTAACAGACCCCCTAGGCCGCTGTTAACCTAATGGCTGTAACAGCCGTGCTGTTAACCGCTGCGACGCAGCTCTGTTAATTAATTAGCGCAGTAGATGTTTGGAAAACCGTTTATCGAGTGCCGTGCGCTTCTTATCAGAGACAACTCAATTAGGCGTCCACAGATTTGAATTTTTAGAGCTGTTGTAGACCTGCTAGGCCAGTATAATTCTGGAATCGTCACTTTTATGCGCTGCACACTCACAGAAGTGCCAGTAGATGCTAATACGCATGGGCCGCATGGGGGGCAGAGCAGATTTCGGTGAAAGGCAATTTGAGGTCATTGCTCAAGAAAGCAACGCCTAATGGAGGGAAAAAGGCCTTTTACTTGGGGAGGCTGACTGGCTGGAGGGCCATTTCCATATTTCAACTTCCACTGCCACTCTCCCCGCCCTGCCACCGGCTTTAGGCTGTCAAAATTATTTTGCCAGGCAGAAACAATAAATAAGTAGACGGGCACCGCTCATGACTTCATTATCAGCAGTTTCTCGATTTTTGGCAGGCATACGGGTATGAGGAAGCAAATGCGCCGTCGAGAGTTCAGCGAGAGTTCAAAGAATGCGAATCGAAAACTGTGATGTAAACAAATTTGATTAAATTAAAAGCTGTGTAAAATGTGCCTACACATACGAGTATGGACAGAACTGATGGGGCGTTGATCGATTCCGAAATCTGTTGTTGTTACGCACGTGCTGTGACTTGGCTAAATATTTTCTTTTGCGCAGTTCAAGGCTAGCGCGCCTGTGTTTATAAGTCTGAGGCCGACCAACCAACCACCCGCTCTATAAGGTCATGCTGTTCGGACACTTCCTCTAAGAACCATACTGGGCTGGGCACACTTTTGCATTAATTAGCATAACAACGAACAACGGGAGCGTCGGGCAGAAAGTTGGCCCAGAGAGCGAGCGGTTATTACCAAGATATCTACTACCTATCTAGACGTATAATCAGACGGAGCGCTTATCAAGGTGAATAAACTAATGAGCAATGAGCTACCAAGCCGTTAATGCACGACATTAAAATGCTAGTTTGTAGTGCTCGTATGTCTATTTGTTTTGCTTCGTTAGAATACCCTCCAACTAAACTGTAATGCTATATTAGCTATAAGCAGGAATGGACTTCAAGATGTGAGCAAGATTCTCTTCTTTTAATTAATAAATAATGTCATCTTGGTTTTCCTTTCACTTTTAAGCTGAGACTCCAACTCTTTAGTGACTGATTAGAGTTTACAGAGCATCTCACAGCCGGCTGCAGCATATAGGTATGGTTTTTTTTTTTTTATATAATGCGCAACTAAGCGGCGCTAGACTTAATCTAGGCAAACAAATTTTGAGTTAATTGCTTTGCCAATCTCTTCAGTGGGCTTACAGTTGATCAGCCAAGCCTGACTAATGCATATAGTCGAAATCTGAAGAGTGCTAGAAGTTGAATAAAAACTTTTCTTTATCACCTTGGCTGGCTGGTTGAGGTTTTAATTTGAAATTTAATGGTATACTAAGCATACTTATAATTATAACGTATAACCAATCTCCTCTATTGATGAGAAACCTATCGATATTTAAGAGATATGTTTAAGCTTCTTAGGGAGAGGGGAAAACTTGTGTTTGATGTTACAAGGAAAGAAAGCCTGTTACTCCTCTTTTATTTCATTTAATTGCATATATATTTTGTTAGAAAATCTGTTTCTACGTTAAGGAGAAAATTGGAAGGAGAAGTTAAAAGTTTCATCATATTAGTATGCCTCTTTTAACTGTTTTGCTTATTTATTTTAATTGCAGCTATGGCTATGCAGCTGAGAAGAAAAGAAAACTTTCTTAGAGGCATCGACTAGAATGAAGGGTAAGCTATAAATTCCTTTAGTTGTTGTATTTATTTCGTTTGATTGGCGTTGTGTTTTGTTGGAAAAATTGATGCTTTGGCGCCACAGTGCAGCATTCGTCAGTCTGATTGGGTTTTTCTCGTTTTGTGAAATGACGTCGGCAATGCGGAAAACGCGCGAAAATTACTCGGAATTGCTTTACATTGGGAATCTTAGTCAGGCACGATTTGTGGAACGTAATTGCCTTGTGAAGAAGGCAAAATACATAATTGCGGGCAGAAGTAGAGTGTTGTTCCGTATTGTTGGCTGAGGCAGGCATATCATGGCCCTAATTCTGTGGAAATCGCGCGAAGTAATTGTGTGTGCATATAGTTTATTGATTTGTGTATCAAGGCCCCGTTAATGGGCTCGCTGAGCGTAAAAACAACACAAAAAGTCCATTAATTTTCTGATGCAAACACAAACAATGCGCTCTTTGGTTCGGGCCCTGACTCTACACCTGTGGTGTGCAACCGCTAGGTGCTAAATACGATTTTCGCTGCCACATGCTGTTGTTGGCCAATAATGAAAGCTAATTGCCGAATTTGTCACATTTTGCCAATAAGTGTTTGGCCATTTGTTGGCATTTTGTGGCAGGAAGACTCTAAAAAGTGCCGATTAGATGTGACTCGAAACCGGCTTACAGTTCTGAATATTCAATCATGGATGCTTGTATATACACACGAGTATATACATATATCTAGATTTAAGCAAACGCAGGTACATTTGTTTTGAACTTTTTTATGGCAGTTGCGAGCAAAGAGATGCGGCAAACAATTCACTTTTTGCTCATTTCTATTTGATTTGCGTTTGTTGTTTGGGAAAAACAAACACAAGTGCTGGCCAAGCTTAAGATAATGCTGGCTTTTTTTCAAATCTTATATATTTATTTTGGTTTTATCTCAAATGCTCAAATGCCTGGCACGTCTGGAGACTCTGGATAGCTTTCTTGTCACGATTCACAGCATTACCTGCCCAATGTAAACACACAAAAACACTTTTACTCGAGCACCACACGCCGTAGCGGCTTAAATACTAATCGGTAGCTCGCAAGTCGGCGGCACAACAACAACAAGAAATGGCGCGCGCGCAGCAGCAATAACAACCGCACGCATTCGACGGATTCAGCGGACTGACGGCGAACGTTCTGTGGTGGCATCTTCAGGGCAGCGGCGGAATTCTCGCATAAAAGTTACGCCTCGGCGTCTGCGGCAATCACCTGTAGGCGGCAAAGCTCTGCTCCAGCAGCTTAGTCGCTAGAGAGCCCATTAATTCCACGCCTGTGGCAGTGCTGCCAACTTAGCCTTTTTCCCGCCAGCTCTCAAGTTGCGAATTAGAGAGCACGGCAAAAAAAGACCATTTCCAATTTAATTCCCAGTGACACGATTCCTTTGATCTGACTTAACTATGTTGCCTGTCTGTAGTGTTCGTTTCTATTTTCCATATTTTTAATGGGAACTTTTACCAGAGTGGGTGCCATAAAGGTGTGTTCTAAAAGTGGGTATTATAAATGTCTTAAATAGGTCTGAAGTGGAGACAATAGGTTTAAAATAGAGAGCGTATATTGTAAGTAATGATGTCGAAATAGCTATTTACGGCTGAAATCTGGCTTTTATTTATATTAAAAACGTTTTGAGAAATGACTATAATAGCTTTTTTATATAGCTAACTGAACTACATTTCTTAGAATTATTAGTATATTCTGGTTATTTTTTCCAATGTCAAAAATAATTACGCTCTCCACTGTAAATAGCTGTTACAGTTGAAATCTGGCTTTTATTTATATTAAAAACGTTTTGAGAAATGAATTAAATAGCTTTTTTATACAACTAACTGAACTAAATTTCTTAGAATTTGTAGTTTATTCTGATTATTTTTTCAAATGCCAAATATAATTACGCTCTCCATGTCAGCATGCTGCCCCAAGTGTTATAAAATACCAAAATAGCCAAATACCATCACTTAATTATTCAAAGCCAGTCTAGCTTGTTTTAGACTGTTATGATATGCTTCATTAAGTAAAGAATGATCAGTTAATTAAGCTAAAAGCGGCTATTTTTAGCCCTTTTTCTGCTGATCATCTAGCCTTTTTGGAAGCGGCGCGAGTGAACGTCATCGAACATGTGCGCTGGTTCGGTTGGCTTGGGAGGCACGACTCGGGTTCGATGGTTCGTGCTCGGCGGTTTCTGAATTCGTAATATTTTTAAAACGAGTTTTTGACGTCGCGTCGCTGTCGAGTTCTGTGTACGAGTATTTCAACCAAACTCTGTCTTTATTGTTTGGCCGAAAAATGTGTTAGTTTTTTCTTGTTTTTATGGCATTGTCGTTGTAGTTGTCGCTGTTTGCTGTTTGCTTTTAATTGCTGTTTACTCTGCTGCCAACGAAGCGGAAAAGGTACAGACAGGCAGTGCGAGGCTATATTTCCTATATTTCGGCAACGCCTTCTCTCTCTTTATCTCTAACAGTTGCGAGCACCGATCCAATTCATTTGCGCGGCAAGGCTTGTTCAGTTCTAAGTATAGTATGTACCACGTGTTAGATAAAGTATCTAACAGTTGTAAAGTCCCTGCAGCTTTCAACGAAACTAGCTCCACAGCACCCACTAAACTAGGGGACAAGAACTTTTACAAACTAGAGCCATGCAGGTACTTTCTGCTTCCCTCTATTTAGCTCCAATTTGCAGCTTGTGTTCTGCAATCGTTCATTTAAAGTTCATTTAATTAGTCGGTTTTCAATACAAAATTGTTTATTGCAATTTGCAATGAATGTGTCGTGAAATAATTAAAATTCTCAAATTGTTGCATCGATTTTTTATTCTTTGATAAACCTGAACGAATAATTTGCATTTCCAGCTCTTCCTGCAATTCTACCAACAAAACTTTTTTGTATAAATAATTGTAAAAAAGTAAATAAATTGCTTTCGCTTACAAACACGTTTACAACCCACTTAATTGCAAAATAAACATATTTCACGAAATATCCGAAACAGCATTTCATTAAAAAGTATTATTCATTAAAAGATTATAGATTCTTTGTATCCTTAATACTTGAAAGCCCAATGCCATCTACTTATTTCTATTTAATTATTATTTGAAAATTGCGACCATTTGCGGCCTACAACTATACATTTTTTAGATTCAAAATCCAGCTGATCAAAGAATTAGAAGTAACTGGTATATGTCTTTTATAAAACAATTTGTCGCGACTGGAATTTGAAGACAAATGTCCTTTCACAGTGTAGATGAGCACTGAGAATTTATTCTGGAACATTTCATCTCCAAATGGGGATCCATGGTGTGTATGAAAAATCTGCATTTTCCATCAGATTAACTCAAACATTTGGTTTTATGCTCCAAGAAGGTACACAAGTATGCGCTATTCACGATTTTTTGAGAAATTTTCTTCGGCCCTCGATTATTAGGGCTTTCTTGTATATGAGTCTATTGAGATCGTTTTTTACAGATTTTCGAAAGTCTTAAGACTTAAGAAGGGAAATTATTATTCTAGGCCATCCAACTTGAGTTCTCGAAAATGTTTATGAATACAATAGAATTTTAATTTCGAGCAATCACTGTCATTTATACAAATCGTGTCTACGACAGCGAATTCATCGCTAAAAAGTTATGGCTAAAAGAAATGACCTGCAATCTGGCCAACCAAGTGGTCCCAGATAGCGCATAGGTAAGAAATTCTTAAACCAATTAAGTAATCCGTTCGATACGAGTTTGGGAATCGCTGGGCTGGGCCTTTTTAGTTCTACGTAGCTCTATTGTTTGTGTTGGGACGCAGCAAAGCGTGGGACCGCCTTATGTATCGCTGCACAATAGAGAACGATTGCCATTGTAAAAGAGCTTTGTGGCAAATGCGAACAAACAACCAACAACACCACAGAAATAAAGACACGTGTCATGTGCTAATGATAATGATAATAATGGGTTGTGGACAATAATAGGGTGGGAGGCGCATGCAGCGGGGCCCCACTGTTTGGCTGAAGGAGGGCCAACTGTGGAAGAAAGCCGCATTCCATGTGGGCAGAACTCGAATTGTGCGAATTGTATGGTTTTCGCGCGAGCATTTGAAGGCAGTTGTGTGGCCAGCCCCTTAATAAGGCTTTAATTGAATATATCCTCTAGCTGGCGACGACGCGTCGTCTAATCAAGTTACTTAATTCAAATGTGTGTGATCGTGGGTCGCCTTTATGCGGATTGGAGCGAACGGAGGGCCAGAGTGCCAGTTAGTTGCAAATTTAGCGCTTCAATTCAATTTCTTTGGAAAGATTTATTTAAAACGTCTTATTAGCGCGTAACTGACGCCGCGACCGCCACTCAACTGTCTACTTATGCCCCATTGTTGGAGATAATTGTGCCCTAGGCATCGTGAGATCGCTTCGAATGGCGCGCGCGCTCGAGTTTATTGACTTGCGGCCTCTGCGGGGCATCAGCAGCTCGAATGGAAGGCAATTTTGCGGTCTAGTTTCTAGGTATTTGGAGGCCAGTTTCTTACAAAACCCCACACTTACCTACAGCTGCGAGTATGAATGTAAATGGCTCTAGAGCATTACTATTCATGAGACTTAATTCAGGTTGATCTGTCATTCAAATAGAATACGTCATTGATTGAATCATACAGTGGAAAGTGTCTATAATACTTAGGCAATCAAATGGCACCCTCTCGAAGAGAGGAAACGCTCTGCGCTTCTTTGTATTCTCAGCTTAACAAATGTGTGCCGATCCAGCAGTAATGGAAAAGCTTAGACCCGAAAAGGAATTCTATACATTGTTGCCTGAATTTTCCCTTACCTTCCAAATTCTCTTCTACAAAAACCTCTATAAACCTCTATAAATCACTCCATCGGAGCCTAAATCTAAACAGCATGCTGTTCTGAGTTACACTTAAGTTTCATTTAAACTTAATATCGAAACAGTCATTGTTTAAATACGGAAAATAGTGGAAATCACTATCACAATCATCCAAATATACTTTTTAAAGCTCTAATAAATGCTGCTGAAACGAGTTAAAATTATTTGATAAATAGGCTGGAATTGAGATTACCCATAAAGCGAAAGGCTTAGAAATTCGGGGTTTGAATGCCTTCACATTTTTATCACAGTCGTTGATTAAATAACTAGCTATTAATAAGTTATAGTTAGTTGGATGTGAAAGAGTGATGTAAATCTGAAATGAATTCGGAATTTACGTTGTTATTCACTTTTAATCTTTATTTAAGATCTGTCCTGGATTGGACAGTTATTAAATTGTACGATAACTTTGAAATTTCAATCAGTCTTTAGCCTTGATGGTTGCGGCGTGATTCGAACCAAAACAGGAACAAAGATTGTGGGATTCCTGCTAGCTCGTGAAGGATATGCCAGGCCCTGAATTTACGATTGAAATGGGAATAATAACTTGCTTTGGCATTTGCCGGGATTTCCCTGCTTAGGAATGTCCGTAGCATTGAGATTTTTTTAAAAATCGATCGAAACATCGAACCTAAAACCATCGCCTTAAAATCGAAAACGATCGCTTACGTAATAATCGATACATCGATGTATCGATGCATATTTACATCACTAATGTGAAGTGCTTTGTAGTAATAAATAAATTAATAAACTATTAGAAACGAAATATATTCTTGTACCTAAACAGGTTTTTATTTATACAAGAAGCCAAAGCTGTAATTTAAAGATTTTTGTTTTCCAGAAAACATGGTGTTTTGTTTTTCAACAAAACTAAGCAGAAACTGTGAACTTTTAAGGAACTGATTGGTTAATCAATAAAAAAGGCAAACATCAGCTATTTGAACATCTTTCATGCTACATTTAAATGTAAAAAATGCTTCTGTTAGAATATTGCTGGGAAACATTGAGAAACAGTTACTTAGACCTTTTCGAAGTAATGTTAAGCTTTTAATAGACATTCAGTAAAAGTTATTTGCACGAGCATCTTCAAACCTGTTTGAAAGTAATGCTTAGGTTTTATTTTTGCAGCTTTTCCCCCAAAAAGTCGAACGTTCTGAGCCGTGATTTATTGTATTTTTGGCATTTTGCCACAAAACTCCTTTATGGCCGAATAATGATTTGGCCTTTTCGTTCAGATTGTT